AATACTGAAAAACAACAATGCTGTGGGAAACAATGGCTGGATCTCAGTAGAGATACAAAAATGATAAGCAACAGCTAAAAAGTAAACAGCCAGAAATAGAACCAGAGCTTTCGGACAACACTAGTCCTCCCTCAGTGGCGAGTATATATATGTTACATTTCAATTTACATTATTACATCTGTTACATTTCAATTTATATTAATTGATTATTCCGCTTGCTGTTTCTAGGTTTCTTTCCCATGCCTTAATTCAACATTAATGATGTGATGATATACAAGTATATCATTCGAGTTCTAGCAGGCGACAAATAATGCAAAAAAGAGGGTGTATCATATAGATTTCTGGCAATTAGCGCTGTTTTTTGGTTTTTTTTTTTCCTCATGCTATAAAATCACTTTATAATAAAGTAATGCTTTTTTTAAGATGATTATTATTTCAATGATGATATATAGTAATATGATGGTAAAAATACAATAATATAGTAGTTTCTTATGTTAACGACTATGATATATACATAATGATGATTGTCTAGGCTAATGTTGATGACGATGACAACGATCACGACGATAATGATGATAAAGTGATGATGGAGATGGTGATGTAATAATAATGACGGAGTAACAACTGATGCTATCTGATGTTGAAAAGGATGATGATTATTATAATATAATTGATGTCTGCTGTAAATAGGCATTAATATTTATTATTTGTTTAATAGGGCCTATTTGATTATTATTTTGTTAATATTCTTAAATTGCTTTTCGTTGAAACGATACTTTATAATACATCTGTGTGTTACCACTTCTTCTACGGAAGTGAAATAAGCTTGGCTTGATACGTAAATGCGTTTGCACCATGGAGACTTGTCTCTAAGCTCTTACATGAAGAGCAGGCGCTATCCAAAGGGACGAAACCAATTCCTAAGAATGTTTAAAATCCTTCAGACTACTTAGAACGTGTTGTTCCATTGATTTCACATTATCCTCCTTGGCTTATAATCACAAATATGATATATGATCGCATTGAATGCAAGTCCCTGTCAAAGGAAGCGATAATACAGTGTAACAGACGTATATTTTGATAATTTATCGGAATAGGTCTATAGTTCAAATATATTTTATGTTTACCATCTCAGTCATCCCTCAGGAAATAAAAAAAATATCATCATCACACAACATTATTTTTTTACTTTCGGTCTATTCAATTTTACATGCACAAATATTATGTTTTCGACCGACTCGATAAGAATGTGGTCAGGGTTATTAAGTTAACTTGCCTATTCAGTAATTGCGAGTAATAGGCATACTCAGGGGCGGATCCAGAAATGTCCAAAAGGGGGGGGGGTCCGAAAGTTGGGCCGATTGAGACAACACTGTAGTAGGGGGCCGGGGCATGCCCCCGCGAAATTTTTGTGTTCTAGACGCCCGAACATAACATTTGAGGCATTCTGGGCTATCATTTTTTTCTTTTTCTCTCTTTTTTTTCTTTTTTTTTTCTTTTTTTTACCTCCCAAAAGGAGGGGGGCCGCCACCCCCCTAAATCGCCCCTGGGCATACTTGTTTGCGTGTAGAGACATGTAACAATTTGTCAGTGAAATATATCGAATTTCAGTTTATTCTAGTAGGCCCTCGAAATTTGGTCAAAATTGATCAATTTCGCATAAGATGAATAATAGTTATTGGAAATTAATTTTTTAACCTTTTTACATCATGTTACCTCCCTTTTTAACATTGAATTTTAACTTTAGATTGCTGTTGTTTTTACGAGTTTTAATGTTTGCTCTTTTTACTGGGTCTTGTTTTTTGTGCACTATATCTTTTTTGCAATTTGAATTTTTATGTTAATTCGAAAAGATATACAACCAAAATTTCTTCGTATGTTTTTATACGAGGACTAATAAAATTTTTTATATCTTGTATTCAATATAAACTTATTGCAAAACAAAATGGAAGTTTTGAAATATATAATTCAGATAAAATAAAATAAGACAATTAAAACGTCGATAGTAAACAGTAAAATCTTTAAAAAGCTACATTCTTACATAAAAAGAAAACATTATGATGAATCTCACATAATAACATTATATTTATTTCATCAAATTTATATTCGACATATCATCTGTCTCTTATACACATCTAGATGTGTATAAGAGACAGCAATTTAATTTTTCGTACTTGTTATGGTTGCA